CGGTTTTGGTTTCGTTCTTCAAAATTTATTTCGGTTTTGGTTTCGGTTTCGTTCCGGTTTCGGTTTTTCACAGAAATTTTGTTGATATAGATTTTTGCGAAAAGTTACCTTGCCATACTTATTTACTACTTAACAAGAATTTTAGCAAAATGTTGCTGATTTTGGTTAAATAAATCATTTATTTCAAAGAAATTTTTATTTATTATTTTTGTAAATTTCTGGAAACCGATTGAAACCTGTGATTGAAATGGTTTCGGTATCGTTCCTTTTCAGGTCAAGATAACGGTTACGGTTTCGGTTTCGGTTTTGAAAAACGAAACGGTTTTAAACGGTTACGGTTACGGTTTGGGTTTCGGTTTCATTCCTTGAATACAACACCTTGGGAATTGCCTAATTGTTCGGCATTTTCGGCAGAAGGCCGAAGTCGAAGATAAAAAATCAGCCGAATAAGTCGAATACCGATGCCAGGCCGAACCTTCGGTCGGCCACTAATTTACATACGGCCTTGGCCAAAGTATTAGGCATACCAATATACAAACATATGATGATTTACAAAATTTATTTTTTTGTTTATTTAGTCTTTAATATTTTGTATAAAAGCCTAGCTCACTGTCTAACAAAGAACATATAAATCCAAATTCCAAATTTTGTGCAGAAAATATAAAAATTCTTTAAACTTTCACCAAAAATGTCAAAAAATTATTCAAAATCTGTAGAAAAAAATTTGGTATGCAGTTTTGTAGCCCATTAAGTTTTAGTATAACAAAGTACAAGTTTCAAGTTGCTAAAAAATCCCGCTACTTTTTATGATTTTTTTTTGCTGACGCTGTCTCGCATTTTCTTTCATAAAAAGTATGTTCGAATTTTTTCATATGGAGGAATATGCACAACACCGTCTGCAAAAAATATCATTAAAACCTAAGGGATTTCTTAGCAACTTGAAGCTTGCACTTTTTATACTAAAATAACTGCGTACCAAACTTTTTTCTAAAGATCCTGAATAAAAAGTTTGCAATTTTTGGTGAAAGTTTAAAGAATTTTTATATTTTCTGCACAAAATTTCGAATTTGGATTTATATGTTCTTTGTTAGACAGTGAGCTAGGCTTTTACACAAAATATTAAACATTAAATAAACAAAAAAATAAATTTTGTAAATCATCATATGTATGTATATTGGTATGCCTAATACTTTTGGCCAAGGCTGTATGTATGTACATATGTAGTAAGGTAATACATTAAATAATAACTCATCTTAGTTTCAGAGGCAATTCAAATTTATAATTTTTTTTTGCAGATTAGTTCAGAAATATTGCAACAAATAAATTACAATGTTAAAAACCATGGGTGTTGTGCGCGTCGATGAAATCTATGAGTACTGCAATCTTGTTTATAATAAATATTCTTAAAAAAATTACATATTTTAAGACAAATCTTAGCCAAAGAATTCACAAAAATCTTAGTTTTACATAATTTTTGAGTACAGAATTTTGACCCGAAATAATTTTAATTGCAAAATAATTTTTTTACATTTTTTCCAAAGTAACTTTTAGTAAACGCCTGCACGAAAAAATAATTGTATATAACTTGCATATTATTCGCACTAGAGCCCAAAAATTATGAGCACACAATAGGACCTGTCTAAAATTAATAAAATACATAATCGATGGATAATAATTTTAAATTTTTCGGGTCCCACTTGTAAGATTTTTACTCCTTAGCTCGCTCTCCAAAGCAAACAAGCGCATGCAAAATAATCCATGGCGATCTAAAACTTTCATCACTTGCGGGTACTTCTGCAACCGGGATTATCCTCATATAACAACTATAATCTTTGTATAATACAAGATTTTTATCCTTTAACGTTATTTCTAGATTACATTAAAAACAGATTAAGCTGACTTTTTTATTTTTTTTTAGATAGCTCGCAGGATAACTCGAATGACCATTTATCAGTGCATTTACAGCAGCTTGGAGAAAGGCTATTCCCAAAGGTATGTCACGTTATTGTTATATTTAAATTAAGTTATTTATTTATTGTCATTTCGGTTATTATTACGACCGCTGTGGTGTAGTGGTTAGCAGTGCGCGCTACCATTGCACAGGACCTGGGTTTAAGCCCAGTTTCAGACCAACATCAAAAAATAAAAAATACAAAAAAAATCGGTTTTTAATAGCGGTCCCCTCGGCAGGCAATGGAAAAATCTTCGAGTGTATTCAGCCATGAAAAACTTCTTATAAAAATACACTTGCCGTAAAACTGTAGGTAGCTCCTCTTTGTGTGACAACATCAAGGCGCACGCCACAAGTCGGAGGAGAAGCTCGGCCAAACACTTAAAATATTGTGTAAACGCAAATCTATTATTATTCATCCTCATTGTGCTAGTCGTGTCGAATGCAAGTCGTTTTTCGAGAATCGAATCGTATCGAAGATTTCACGTTATTGCCTAAAATTTCCACTCGACTAGTTTATTAAAACGGAAAAACTTGGCAGCACTGTATAGTTTTCGACGATTTTCGTGTTTTTTTTTTTCACCACGACAGTAGACAATGCCAATGTTGTCGCGTCGTACAATTTAGCCTAATTTACGACTTACGCAATGAGGCTGATTATAAACAGAAATCGTCGTTTAAGTGCAAAACCGCGTATCAACAAAATGCAAAACCGAGTATCAGCAAATTGCAGAACGCGTATGTGAAGTTTTGGAAATCATTTTCTAGAGTGTTAAAACACCCATATTTCAAAATGGTTCTCTTTTTTATAAAGAAATCGCACTTCTGGCTAGTATATTTCAGGACGAATGGATAAGGGCTGAGCCAAGAGCTTGTGTGAGCAAATACAATTTTTGGCAGCCAATGTCAGTTAATCGGTTTTGCGGAATGACGATACGCGGTTTTGTACTTTAAACGACGAAATGTAACCCTCGAAAGCAGAATACTACACAGTGTTTATGTTTCCAAACGTTTTTACCAATCGTTATAGTAGACGTGTTTTTTTTGTATTCACGCATTCGTATCTACGCTTAAAATTTGTATGGAACTTTAAGCGACAAACTTTATGTGTGCTTATGAATAGTTGTCGAAGAAATCGAAATTACTGATTTTTAAATAGAAATTGTCGATGCTTGTTTTTTTTACACGTTGTGTAAAGAAACCAGAAGGATTGTGTAAGCCAGGGCCGACGAACCTTTATACATACACGTGCCATTATTTCCAAAGACTTATTCAATGTAGCCAGGACGTGCCAAAAAGAAGTCATGACTTATCACCGGTTTTGGGGACATTGGTTGACACTTAAATAATAACACTTAATTAATTAGTAATTATAATATTTTCAATATTTTTGCATTGAATTTATCGTTTTTCCTTTTCGCGTCGGCAGACCGTGAATTTTTCGATATTTTCGCCAAAGTTTTGCAATGATTAGTTTTGAAACCGCGTGCTTACGATGGAGATCGGTGACTGACGCAGGGTATTAAATTTTTGTTGAAGCCAGCCGATGGCGACCCTTGCTGGCCACCTTGGGTCTTCTGTGCGCCCACGCGCGGATCCGTACTGTAAACTACCGAGTCTAAAAGTTAGACATACGTACAAATTCATAAGTACCAGACATGGGCGTAGTGCACTAAATTTCAAGTACCACTAATATTGAATATAGTGAGGCTTATTTTTTTCTAATCCCACTAAAAGTAGTGGGACTCAGATTTTTTTTCACTACCACTAAATGCGTTAGTGGTAGTTGAAAAAATGTCCACTCAAAATAAATGCCTTTAGTGGTAATTGAATTTTTTTCCACTACCACTAATGGTAATGTAAAAAATTTTCAATAATTTCAAAAGTAGTGGAATCAACAGATTTTCTACTAAAACAAATATAGTAAAGTAATTAGGCCTTTTCAAGTGATTTTTGGAAATGTATCGGCTTTTGAATACATGTGTGCATATTTTCTAACATAAGTACATACATATCAATTTACAGTGTATTTCAATACAATTACAATATTTCTTTAAGATAAACAAACACAAACACAAATTTCGCTTTTATGGATTTAAATATTAAAAACACGAAGTGGAGACTCACGTAAGAGGTTACTTATACACATATCGCACACGATCTTCAAAAGTGACGCAACTCAAAATTTGGCATTTTTGGAATTATGCACTAAAAATGTACACTGGTCCGGGAGCAAATTTTTGTTATAAATTGTTGAAAAAACCTAAGGTAAAGTCTTCCTTGCCTATATGATTAGCATGTGCTAAGGAATAGTTTTTCGCATTTTCTGACGAACGTGTAATTTTGAGTTGTAAGATGATGAATACGTAGTCAATATATAGCACGTTTAATAATAGGTTTGTTCCACACGCCCAAAACAGCCCAGAAAGCGTTTCTCGCGCTAGAAAAATGGGTAATAGAGAGCGAATACCTTCCACTTTTGAATTGTAAAGGTCTTCTTCTTCGTGCCCGAAACAGCCGGGACTTTTTTCCGAGCATAAATGTGCAAGAAGTCAATTTGAAAACAGTTGTTGTTTGTTTACACCCGAGCTTGTTTTTTGTTTACATCCGAGCGCAAATTTTGTAAAATACCAAAATGGAAAATAGCAGTAAAGTTTCAGAAATGTAGGTATTTGCTAATTTTATTAGCCATATAAGATAAATACACATAAAATCATTGTTTAGAGCTGATTTGTTGATTCCGAACACGAAATGTGGTTTTTTGCGTTCCTCACGCTCTGAGCACTTTTGGCACGTATTGACTTATTTTTAACACTTGTCAGAGAATAGCTTATTTTTACGCTCTAATTAGCGAAACATAACGGAAAGCATGTGGAACTAAGCTAATATAAATTTTTCAAATTTTCAAATTTGTGGGAAAACGCAATCAAAGTTTGATCAATTCATACAGTTGGTATACCAAAAGACAGATGGAAAGATGGAAACATATTCTCTTCATCAAGCTATTTAATTGTATTATGAAATCTCCAAGAACGTAAATTTTCAATTACATCTCTATATTATTAAACGTGCGATATCAGTTTTTCCTTACTACCAAGCATTAGTATTATTTAGTGGAAACATGAGGGGTATTCTCTGAGTCTTGCAAAGCCCTTGCACGGTGCACGGATTGCACGGTTTGCAAAGCTGTCCCATACGAAAACCGGTTTTTACCGTGCAATCCGTGCAATCTGTGCACCATGCAAGGGCTTTGCAAGACTCAGAGAATACCGCTATGGATTTTTCCACTATTTGCAAGATTTAGTGGAAATAGTCTTTAAGCCATTAATATTAATTTAGTGGAAATTTTGTCAGCTCCAATGTCACTAGGCTTGGAGTGGAAAGCATTGTGCACTACCACTAAAAATAATAGTGATTTTTTCCACTAAAAATGTTTGTTTATAAAAAAAAACAGCTTTTTGACCTGGTACGCATGTATGTACATTAGGGTGGTCCAAAGATACACGTGGAAAAGTAAAGTCGGAATTTTTATGCTCTCACCCCCTAGGANGTCACTAGGCTTGGAGTGGAAAGCATTGTGCACTACCACTAAAAATAATAGTGATTTTTTCCACTAAAAATGTTTGTTTATAAAAAAAAAACAGCTTTTTGACCTGGTACGCATGTATGTACATTAGGGTGGTCCAAAGATACACGTGGAAAAGTAAAGTCGGAATTTTTATGCTCTCACCCCCTAGGATTGTTCTATACCGAAAAAAATATATCCCAATTTTTTTATTTCAAAAATAAAAAATATTGAGAGGTCGCTCAAAGCGCCCAAAGTTTTCCATGTCTTTTGTATGGGGAAACAACTACTTTTCGTAGAAATGGTATAGAATTCTTAAAAATCAATATTTTTCTATGAGAGAACTCAATTTGTCTGCAGCAGATTCCCAATAATAATACTCAAATTTTTATTTAACGATTTTTTCATCGCAACTTTAATTTATAGGTCCACCAAAATCCCACAAAAACCCCGAAAAATTCAATGGGGGGACCAACAAAAAATCGTTAGTATTAAAAAATGGTTAAATAAACAATTGGGTCTTATTACTGAAAGCCTCCTGAAGAGAACCAGCGTTTCCGATCGAAAAATATTGGTTTTCAAGAATTCTGTACCATTTCTACGGAAAGTGGTTTTTTCCCCATATAGAAATACATGGAAAACTTTGAGCGCTTTGAGCGACCTCTAAATATTTTTTGATTTCAAAATAAAAAAATAGGGGTATACTTTTTTTCGTAATAGAACAATCCTAGGGGGTGAGAGCATTACAACTCCGAGTTTACTGTTTTTGGACCACCCTAATGTACATATACACAAATGTCAATGACATGGTATAATATGTGCACATCTGTACGTAAATAAGGAAATTAATTGTGCAAGTTTTATTTACCTGGCTTCAAAGGACTTGGACAATTTTAGGAAATGCTACATCTTAGTATTCTTGGGCAGAATTACTTGCGTTTACCTGAAATTAAAATGAGTTTCACTTACAAATTTCCGGTTGAAAAGACCAATTTAGACTCAAAAACCTACATTTATTTATTTATTTATTTATCTCAAAAGTACGGTAAGACATTAAGTCTTTTTTTTGTACATTTTTACAATTCAATTACAAATTTTAATCTTAAACTAAACTTAAATTCTAAGGCTTATCCAACCATGAAAACAAGGTAAGAAATAGTATGACGTAGGTGAACAAGAGTTACATAAAAGATGAGAAAACATAGAACTAAGTAAAAAGTTCTGTAACTGCCGTCTTAAAGCATCTAGCTGAATTTATGTTTTTAATTGAAAGTGGTAATGAGTTCCATAGTCTGACAACACTAACAAAGAATAGTCTGGAGACCGTTAACGTTTTATATTTTGGTACTACAATGTTTTTAGTGCGAGATGATATGACAAACTTAAGTCTACAGAAAAGGTAACCAGGCTGATGATACTTAATTATTTTAAATAAAAATAAAATATTTCGCACTTTTAAGTAATTATCTAGACTAA